ATTAGAAATTCTTAGGAATGTCTCTATTTTCATTAAGTTTTAACTCAAGAATTGATTTAGTGGTCTTGAGATATAGTCAATTAACTTGGGAGAGTAGCACATTGCTATCAAACAAGCACTTTGGCGAAGAAATATACTCAGGTTTGTTTTTCTGTCTTATTTTTTTATTGACCACACAAATGTACTCACCTTTAGAAGCCTACGTCAGAATTTACATGTAACTGATTAAATATCTAAATGACATAATATTTGATAAGCCGGCATCTTCAACTCATTTGCACCGGTGATACCTGCAGAGGGCAGCAAAATGGCAGCACTGGTTCCACTAAATGTCTCAATTATTAGTTGCTGCTGCAAAAATGTGATATTGCATGGGATTCAATTTATAAAGATTATTCAACTCAAACTGAATAGAAATAGGATTTTTTTGTCGGTAAATGACATATTTTCTGAAGACTGTGAATGTGATGATTTACCTTGTGATGTAAAGTGTTACTTATTTTTGAGAGATGTCCTTGTTGGGTGTATACAGTCCTTCTTATCTCATTATTGTCATCATGTCCACATTAACGCTAATTCGCACCGGAGTAGAATCAGAAGATTTCATGCAGTAATCAAGGATACAAACACAAACCTTCAGAAGTCACAGCACAGCACAGTTTACTTGCTAGTTGTTTTGTACAAATAGTAGAAAGAGGGTTTGTGTCTGAAGAAGACAAACTGTATCACATTTGCCAGATAGATGTCATTACACAGAGACAGATTTTCAGAAAGGTGTAAAGAGAATCACAGAGTCCAATGTTTCTAACATCCCATTGAAAAAGCTCTCATTAACCTGTGGGTGTTTAAAAAAATGAAAAAGAGAATGAGAAAGAGACTTCAGCAATCACTTACATACAGTTAGAGAAAGATATCTTGGTAAAGTTGGAGTAAACACGAAAAAGAAAGAAAGAAAAAAAACATTTCAATCATCAGGTGGTGTCTAGTGGTAGACATAGTATTGTATGCTGTCCTACAGTGCTCAAGCCACCCACAAACCACTTTACAGAACATCTGGAAGTTCCACAAAATATTTGAAGTCTCATTTTTTACTTTTTTATGTATCTTTTTTTTTTTTACAATTTTTTCTTATTTGTACACATCACAACCTGAAGACTTGGTAGGTTGACTTGTCCATCACAACTCGGGGTGGTCATCATCATACCACATCATCATCCCCATTCCTTTTGAGTCATCTAAAAGCACAGATCCCATCAACATGCCACACATTCCTGAAACATCAATCACAACCCCCTTTAATTATTATATGTTAACTCTGCGGTTTTAATTTGCGCACTCTTTAAAGCGCTGATCGAGAAAGTGGGCAAGAAACACCATGCCCTCTTACTAGATTTCTACGTGTTTTGAACGTCCATGTTCAAAGTCCCGGACAGAGCAGACTGCTGAAGGGCCATGTCGAGCTTACAGGATGGCACAGAAAAACTTCTTCTCCCTGAAGGGGTTCTCCGATGCTGGCACCGGCGACAAGAGCGGGTCTTCTTTGGCATGAGCTTCGCAATATGACATTAAGTCTGCCGCTGCCTTCGACACCTGCAGTGAGACAGACACACACAGGCATTGGTGAATGATGTCACACTGGCTTACTGGTTTCCTGTCGGGCTAAAAAAGAGGTCTGATTTTGGTTTAGCTCTGGTGAAAAGTGAGATCTTTACCAGCGTTAGACAGCTGTTTGAAAACACACAGTTTGGGGAAGCGATTCGTGATAGGCAAGCCAATCGGAAGCTTATCTAAAACTGGGCCTTCGGGACAGCCTACGTTTCATCATCTAAAACAGCTCGGACCTGGATAAACTGGAAAGCAGGACCAGTGAGAGCTGTGTTGTTGATTCATGCGCCATATCATTGACGCATTAGACAGTTGTTAACTCGGTCCGCGCACTTTTTCATCTGCAAAAAGTCTGTGCAGCAACAAGATCCGAAAGCATGTCACCAGCAAAGGCCCAGCTCTGCTAACGTTACAGCCCATACCATGTGGTCAGACGGAAAAAAAAAGTGAAACTATCCTCTTGCGGCATTCTTTGGTGGAGCTACATGATGTGGCCAGACACATTGAACAATGCGGTAAGGTCAGTTTAGAACAGTAACGATGATAAAAACTCGAGTGAAGTGACCAGAAACACGCCAGCACACCTTTATCCTGTCGATGTTGGCCTCCATCTTCAGCTGCTCCACCAGCTTCCGGGCCTGTGCGATGCTGGCCGTGTTATTGCTTGCCATGGGAGCTCTGGGTCCGTTTCTTTTCGTCTGCTCAGCCTGCGTGGAGGAGAGCGACTGTTAGACATCCCAGACATTTTGCTTCACAGATGAGCACAACAGGCATGCAAAGAGGAGTGCTAGTAACAGATAGCCTGTTTATTATCACATGCCTGTGAACATGCACGCACACACACTCATACACACACACACAGACACACACAGACACAGGCATATTATTTATGGTGTCAGTTGCTAGGCAGCCCCTGACAGTGAGGAGGAGGTGGGGGAGGTGGGAGGAGAATGAGGGGGAGGTGTTCTGTCCGGCACCAATAGATAAATGGATAAAGGGCATTACTCGTTGCAGAGGCAAAAGCTGTTATTTTCCACCGAAAATGATTGTCGCCTCCTAGGAAAAAAGCTAACTGACATCTCTCCGTCACGCTGACATCAGAGCACAGTCCGTCAGAGGAAAGGTCCACTTCAGGACTTTGTGCGGTTCGGTGCATGTCAAATGAATGAATGACTAAAGACACCTCTCACTGCAAGTAAAAAGAACACCAGGCTGTTGATAAGATAGATTTATAATAAGTTCTGTCAGTCCACAATGAGCTTCTTATCTTTGGCACCTGGTATAATCCAGAACCCCTGATACTAATTTTAGAAATTCATGAATGCTCTGGTTTATTCTTCTTCTTTATGATATGGTTGAAACAAATAGCAATAATAAATACGTCAGAGGATGAAGGATATCATTTTCACAAATTGTTTGTCATAACTTTTTTTTCTCCAAATGTCTTAAAAGCCAGTAGTTTCCATGTATGTATTTTTCACATCGTTACTCTCTGTTGACTCATTAAAAACCTTTGGAAGCTGTTTGTTGAAGCAATTAAATGCTGTATGAAGAGCATCTGAAGAGACCTCCGATTAGCTGTGACACTACAAATCTCAAAGATCTATCTTACAAACATGTTCTTTTTTAAAAATGTCTTTAATGCAACCGAAAAATCCCAATGGTCTTTCCCTGGGTTGAGATTCATGAGGACTATTCAGGTACATAAAGTGTTGAAACAATGTTTTTTTCCTCATTCATCACTTGTCTGTGCAGAGGTAAATGCTCTCAATTGCTCTCCTGTCCTAAAGAACCTCTTCAACCTCAGCGGATCAAGCTCTTCAGAACAGCATCCTCCTTGGTGTTAGATCAATCATGCCGGCAACCGCCCCCCCCCCCTCTGTCATCCTTCTGTGTGCACTGTGGTGTGACTCAGTGTGGGGTCGGTGCTGATCACAGCGTGGTGCAAAGCATCAATATTAATGCTCCATATCTGGGCAGATCTGCCCATCTGGCAATGTAAGTGGAAAGGTTGTTTACAGCTCAGAATAAGGCGATCGGTTGCTTGTATTGGTACACAATGATCAGATGTTGAAACAGAGGAGCTTCTCACTTTGAAGATTGCTTCTCACATTCTTTTTCCTTTTCAGTGATTATCAAACTTTTTATAGGGTTTTTCTATTTTAACATTTTTTGAATCAATATTAGAGCAAAAATGGCAAACTAGTTCCCACTTTCTCGGGACCGAGACGTTTCCTCTGACATGTCCTGGGACTTCTCGGGAAGACATCAGTGCAAACCGAGTGACAGATTGAAGAGTATTTATATGTTCAAACCTGGAGCGGCCGGTAAGAATTAATACTGTAGCATAAACAGTTTCTGAGGCTGAGGTACCTGGTTGTTCTCAGTATAAGGAGAACACCACCTTGTAGGGCCATAGAGTGTCAATATGAAAGGTTCTATATATATGATAGCATTTCTGTTGTCATAAATGTTCAAACTAGCTTGTCTGGGCATCAGACAGGTGAAATGAGTGAACGCACATTTTCAGAAGTAAAGAAACGTGCCTATAGAATGTCACTAAAGTCTCTAAATGTCTCTAAAGTTCAAGAATTCTTAACAACTATGGACAAACAGGTCCAGATTATTCGTTTTCATATCACACACACACACATTTTTGTGTTATATAGATATATGTATATTTCTATATATAGCACAAATTTCACTTTTTGTCCTCTGCCAAAATAAAAATAGGGCAAGACTTAGTACAAAGGCATGAGGAGCAAAAATGAGTCTTGTCTTTTTGTGTCCTCTTGTATCAAGGCCATAATATTGTTTCAACTCTCAGGGGGAGCGTCAAAGCAGGCCAGGGTATCTTCAGACTATTGATAGGGATATATGTCACTCTTTAAGGTTTCTGGGATGTCTTTGGAAAAGTAGGTCCTCCGTTTTTGCATAAAATATCCTGATACAACAGCCTATTTTACGAAGAAATGACACAGGGAGGTGATGCTTTTTTTTTAGCAAAGGAAAAGCAAAAGTGTCCCTGAGCGGACGGTCATATAAAGGAGATATCCCAAGTTTAAATAATCTGTCTCATGGTTGACTTCTATCGGCTGATGGACAGCTTGTGACCAACTGGCTAACTGGTAAAGAGTTATCCAGTTAAATTGAGTTTACTTAATACAGTAGTAAAGTTGAACTTGGTTAGACTATTCTTAATCAGATTTTTGCAGAAGTACACAAGCACCAAATGGGAGTTTATAAATCATAGGGGATTTGGCCTTTGTCTTTGGATCTTTGAATTGGGTGTTTCCCTGTGTCTCCATCACCTTCATTCTTGTCCCTCAGTTCCCTCTATGTTCCCTTATATCAGTTCAGCTTCCTGCATCTGTGTTTTTTACCACTAGTCCTTCACCCCCTCTATTTATGCTTCTGCGGCCTTTCATTCAGTGCTGGATTGTTACCCTTGAATTGTTTTTTACTTTCTTTTTTTTTGGTTAATTTAGCAGGATTTTGGTTTTGGGTCTTCCCCTTTAAGCTAATAATTTGTATCCAGCCTCTGCTGCTCCTTTTGTTTGGTTAATAATAAAACCTTAGTTAGTGTGCTCCTGCACTTGGATCCATCCCTTAACCCCCAGCTGTAACAGTCTGCTCTAAAGGTGGGGAATTGTCCCCTTTTAGCCTTTTAGCATCAAGCTTTTACACGAAAAAGTCCTGCCATAAACGCAAAAGACTAAATCAACTGACTAGCTATTCAGATGTTGGAAAATTTGCATGTGAGTTAGCCATCATTCCACAAAGTATGTGGAATAGCCATGTTCATAGATCAATCGCCAATCCAACAGAATTGTGCAATGAACGTCAGAAGAACAGTATATTTCAAGATGAGTCTTTTCTGTCGTGAAGTTCTTCAACATTCTGAGGAAAGTCAGTGCTACTGGCCCCTGAGAAACATGTCACTGACCTCCCCAACTTACCTACCTCAATGATTTTTAAGAAACAAAACCCCCAAAATAGCCTGTAACTTAGCCACCCTGTGACTGAACCCAGAATAATCTTCCTGCTTATTATCACCGGAGTGAGTGAAAATGCCACGCTGACATTTCCCCGTCTCTGGAGAGAAGGGTGAGGACATGGCGACACGAAGCAGATGCCCATGCTGGAATGGCTCACACTCTTTCAAACGAACTGAGTCTATTGTACGTTTTTTTATCTCCTCACTTCACTTTCAGGATGAAGTTTTGCAGCTGCTCCTTCGTACGGTGTGACCTCATTTCCTTCCTGCCTCTCTGTCAGCAGCTCAAATATATCAGTACTACACTACAGTAAAATGTTGTACGTGGTGATGACTACGAAAAGCCCAAACAGGCACAGATAAATAAATCATTGAGGGACGTGGACCTTTGCAGAGTCGGCAAAGTGGGGATCTGCTGAGAGAGACATTGACCCCCTCGTGGTTTTATGCATGGAGAAAGTAGCCTGCTGTAAGGAGTCTTTTGTCATGTTCTTCCGCTTCGCCTTCGCTTACCTTGTCTGCTCGCTCCTCCACACACTAGCTTGGTGTCAGCCCTCGGTTTCGCCAACAGTTGGTTTCTGTCGCGCTCTCTGTAAACACAGAGGAAAGAGATAAAGGTAGGTGGAAGAGTTCTGCATGCTAAATGAATTCCCGCATTCCGGATCGGTTCTGCAGAGGCTTTTGCACGGAGCCGCTGTCCCCTAATGTCACGCTGTCACAGCCCTGCTCCACAACAAACACTGATGGAGGAACACCAACAAACTGCAGAGGGGAAATAAATTCATGCTCACGTGAGGGGAGGAGCCTCGATGAAAGATTGCGAGGAAACATTTTCATTCTTGTTCCAACTACAGCAGATTAGCCTGGCTGTGCTTAAAGATGGGGAAGCTGCATACTTAGAGCTCATCAAAATGACTGGAAATAGAACTCAATTTGATCAGCCACTTTGACTTTCCTGTATCGTAAATCTTAAGAAAGCAAATTTTTAATTTAGCTTACCTTAATCATCATCTGTTTTTTTTGTAGTGTTGCTTTTCATACACTGAGGGGATGAATCTACTTCCCTGACTTGCTTCTAAACAACCAAGATTTTAGAAAACGTTATTTAAATTTGTTGTCCGCTCGATGCTGACTCTGAACTCCTATTTCAGAGCCACTTTCTTCTTCTTCTGTTCTAAACAGATTAATTCTTCTGCATCTGTGACTTTGCATCTCGGCCCTCTGCAGCTTCTGATAAATGGGCCAATTACCCTGCATGAGCAGATCTGCGGAGGAAGGGAATTCCACCCATCATAAATCATGGCAGCACACGACAATAAAGAAACGTTACAGTGAGGCATCCATTAACAAAACCTTGCCACCGTACCCTGAGCCAACACGTTCGAGTTGGACTCTGAAACTGCTTATATAGCGCGATCTCAGTGCATTGCACCGTCACCATCCTGATGTACAGGGGCCATTTATCTTTGTGCTCGCACTGCGTTATGCAAGTTTTGTTATGATTTTTATCAGTATATCTACTTAAAGTATTGCGTGTGCAGTGAGGTGTGGGTTTTTATCTTAAAAAGAGTTTCAGAATTTTGGAGCCCATATGTTGGACATCGCAGAACCTATACAGATCGGTCCTAACCCATACGTTTCTATGCTAACAGGTTTTGTGAAGTTGTTAAAGGTGCAGTGTATGTCTCCGTGGGGGATAAGAGACTCTGTCTCAGTGACAGTAGTTGTATGAATGAAGTTTAAGTTTTAATGTCAAAGCGTTTAATGCTAAATGTCATTTGGTTGGAATGCTATGAAGTAGGATTTCATGAGAAATCAAACTTAAACTTTGGAGAAAAAAAAGATTAGCATGATCTGTTTGTCTTTCGCATTACATCGGTACAATCAAATGTTTCTTGCAAGTATCTCCTATAGATCGACAAATTTATCTCCCTCATTTACTGACATTACCATCACCTCAGAAAGGGCTTCTGGTGTCACTGACTGACTCACATGATCCATAACTTGTGACCGTGTCGTGTTGTATTTGTTCACGGCATGAGTTCTCTCACAATGGCATCCAGCTGATCACTCCATGACTGGCATTTGCATTTGACTTCCAAAGAAAACTGTGCGACCTAATCTTGTTTGGTTTGAGGGTTTAGGGCACTCCTTTGACAACATTGGACAGGCTCTGGTATCAATGCATTTTCCTATAAATGAATTAATGGACTAGCTGATTGGTCAGTTGAGAACTGTTTGTTCCTGATGTTAAGAGAACCACACCAATAAATGTCTATCCATGTATGCATGTCCTTTTTTAATGCCTTTTTTTTAATGAAAAAACTGTTTATCATTACAGAACACAACTGATAAAAGCGGTCATTTGTGTGTTTTTCAAATGAGAAACCCAAGATGACCTCAACAAAAAAGGTTGGTAGTCTGTCATCAGCCCAATTAAGATTTTAAAAAAGACTCTTGAGCATTCCCTACTGAATTAGAGTAGCAGAAATTGTTCTTACCATAAACTTTAGGCATATGTAGTTGCAAATTGACATACTCCTTCCCATTATCTCCATCGTGTCACATCAATGCTACCAAACAGAAAACAGCAGCCTAAGCCTGTGAAGCGATCTTAGGGTGTGCAGCTACGGACAGAAGAGGGGATATGTGTTTGATTTGCCTTTGGCAGCGTTGTTCCCCAATGCCATGCCACGACAGAATCTTGAGCTGAACTGAGCTGAGATGGAAAAAAAGACGTGGAAATGCATCATAGGTCACGAGAAGCGATCCATTCCTCTCCTGCGCACCGGCCTTCTGCTTTTCTACCCTCCCTCTGTGGCCGACAGGTGTTCAGTGATGGGACCGAAACGCCCCCCGGCCTGCCCCGTCCTGCTGCTAACACTGCTGAATCAATCGGACCCCCTCCGCCATCCTTCCCCTGCCATTTGGAGCTTCATTTGAACCTCTTCCTCCGGGTTTTCAGGGGGTCTGTGTTCGTCACGATACCCTCCGCAGATGTGATTATAGCTGCTGGTCGGATCAGGGTGTTGCTGACTTAAAGGGTTATTAAGTGTGCCGCAGGAAACATCCTGCTGAGGGAAAAAAATTATTCCTAGCCTTTTGAGAGTGACGACGTGTCACATAATCCCTCGCACGCTGACTACTCGCTTGGTTTTCCCTCCACTTTCTTCTTTCGTTAATACCCCCTACCCTATCTCTTTTTTTATAATAAAAAAACCTTTCAGAGTAAGAAATTACAGCAGCCAGGCCTCTGTAGTGCCCAGGGTGTGAAATCAGAGCATGGTAATTAAAAATGTGTCTCTGGCTCAGCCATCTGGACCCTGGAGGAGCGGTGATTAACCTGCAAGGGTCTGCAGGGACAGCGAGAGGCAGGAAGCAGAAACGTTCTGAGGGCCTCTTTACCCTTGTGTGTACACGCTAACAATCGGCCATTCACTGAGCTCTGCCCCCTAACTTGTTGTGAGTACACATGGCAGGCATACACAGATTACAATGCAGCTGCATTGAAAGCAGCCGTATATCTACCTCGAGACATTTTTAGAAGTCAATTAAACAATGGCTCTTTGTCCTTTAAACTGGGCTCAAACAGGGAGCAAACAAGCTGCCGTCCAGTGGTGCCTCCTGAAATAACTCTAGTCTTCATGTGTTGCTCTCGTATTGCAGTGTTCGTTTATCTTAATATCTTGAAATATAAAGACAACCAATCCTTTGATTCGGTACATTACAGTTCAAAGTTTGTAAAATGGTTTTGCACTGTTACTAGTGCTCTGGGAGGTCAACTGAACTGAACACGTTTATTGTGTAGCTGGTCAACTAGCTGGTAAAGGACGCGTCAGAAAGGATTGTGCTCTCCTCAACCTACCCGGTGAAATTTAAGATCTCAGTTGTTTTCAATGCCTGATGAAGTAGCGCCTACAACAGGGAATTAATGTAAATGATGAGGTAATGAAGAGAAAACGAGACGTGGATGATAAAGTGGGGAAGTAAAGAGACAGGCTTTCCTCCAGCCTCATAATTAATGCCGTGTTTCCTGTTAATAAAAGCGCTCTGTAGATTGGAATTGTCAGTTTCCTGTTGGCTCGGGTCAATTAGGGACGCAGCAGGACTGCGCTATGAAACAGCTCCTTGAAAAATCGTTGTAAAGAAACATGGAGACTATAAAATATCGGGTTTAAACGATGCAGCTACAAAATACTGTGGAAGAAAATCATGGTTGGTGGTTAGTGCTCTATGTGTGTGAGAGGACACTGAAGCTGACATGAGGAAGGAAGACGTTTTGGACACATACATTAAACATTATGATGCTAAAATGAGATAATGAATAAATTGAGTTGTTTAAGATTGCTTTTAAGCGGAGATAGAAAACGCCCTAAGATTACACAGGCCACTTTTTATTAGAATTATAATCGTAAAAAACACTTTCATCAGATGAAACTTGTTGGTTTCTACAGAATCTGACGGAATTCTGAATCCAGCTGTGCGGTGCATACTTCATGGACTGGGATAAACACATTCTTCATATGCGTGCTCGAAATGTGCGAGTGTAAGTTGACAGGAGGAGTTTCCCAGGAGTTTTCGACTGAAGCTTTGATTCGGGACCTCAGATGAACTGCTGACAATATCCAATTTATGATGAAAGAATCCAGTTACGAATAGTTACATAAGGTTTCATCCTCAACCCCATGGTGCTCTCCTGGATGGAGATGACATAGTTCTCCCTTCAATGAGAGCCATTTATTTTTTGCTTTTGACAGCAAAACACGAGCACACGCATACACATAAAAAAACTAAGAACCTCCTGGTGGATTTTCAGAAATGTAAGGTAGCTATTCATTATTCACGAAACAGCTGTGCATGACTGTGTAAAAGTACTCGCTTAATGTTCAGTCATCCAAGGGCTCACGGTACCGGTGTGACCCGGTGACGGCCCTCTTCTTAAGGGGGTTGTTGGACAATAGGCTGCCCCCCACGATGTCACCGCTTATCAAGAGGCGGCCAGATGCGCCCCTCCTCATTTGACAGCTCCGGAAAGCCTTCTACAGCCGTGGGAGCTAAATGAACGCAGCTGGAAATGTGGTCCTCAGGAGGTTTAACGAAAAAAAAAAAAAAGTTGTGACATTAAAACTCTTTTCCAAAAGTGTCTTGTAAAGTGACCTCAACAGGGATAAGTAACACAAAACTGACCTCCAGAGTTATTACCGAGCACGGTCAGCATGATATCGACTATTGAATGTAATACAGCCCCTCTTCCTGTCCTTGAACGCGAGAAAGGCCAACATGTGCATGCAAGGACGGAGAGAAAAGCGATGACACACCCAGAGAGAGCCGAGCACGCAGACGCTTCCTGTGTGTGTGAATAACGTACCTGCGCTCAGACCCTACATGTAGCTTTCCCAGAGTTTGGGGGGGGGTGGGGGGTCGGATACACTCAAGCATGACAGACGAACCAATTAGCTTTTCCTGCTTTTTCTAATTCGTAACATCCTATCCATTTAAATAGCTTTGCTGCTGTAGCTTGCGCGTGTGTTCTTGAGCAACTGATCTGCTCTCCAGTCTGCAGAGGACCGAACGGCTGACCCGAGTGAGCACCG